AATGTCAGGATGAATGATAAATATCCCGAAATCAGAATGGTGCCCAGTACATGTAAGTTTATATATGATTTATTTTATGTAAGTTTATACTATCCTTTTTTATGTATTTCTGTTTAGTCCTAAATACGCTTGCTTCTTGCATCGACCATTGTTTTTGTCTCTGCATCACCCAAAGGTCTGGCTGGAGGAGAATGCCCTAGGCATTAAGCCCACCTTATACATTAGTGTGTGCATGAAGTCTCTTAAAATAAAAATAAATAGTGAAAAGTGGGTGTTATATTGTACAGTGGCATTAAGTGCCGTAATATGCACCTCTGCCTACCCTTTCGGAGATAAAAGGCATGATGTTATGTTATGTTCGGCTGCTGCCTCTGCAGAAAGCCTCAAGCGGCGCAAGTATAACAACCTTGCTGGTAGTTATATCTTTGAGCCGTTTGGGGTTGAGACGTTAGGTTCGTGGGGTCCAAGTGCCTATAAATTATTCAAAAATATTTCGAAACGCCTGGTCGACACATCTCGTGACCAGAGGGCTGGTATTTTTCTCGGTCAGAGGTGAAGCATTGCCATACAACGTGGCAATGCTGGGTACTTTCCCCACTGACGTCGATGTGGACGAATTTTTCGATGCTTTGTTCAAATAGTTATTTTTAGTTTACTTTTATTTAATTTTTATCTTATGTTGTATATATTTAGTATTTATTTTATTTAAGTTTATACAATGTGTAGTTTTGAAACCGTGTCATTTCTCGGGGGCATGTCACAGAAGTCATATACGTTCAATGTAAGTAAAAGTTTCGAGCCAGTAGTTAAATATACGGCTATAATAAATCGTTTAAGTTCGACAGTGTTTCAAAATAAGCGACAGCAATGGTTCTTATTGGAGTTTTATGGAATTAGGAATAATATCAATTATGTGTTTGAGTTTGTGTGTGTTGAGCCGCGTTATAAAACTAGTTACAAGACGGCGGCGTGTAGTTCGCACTTACGGATTTCCGTAATTTACAGAAATGAAAAATATTTACCTAAAATATTTTTTATTGATTCGGACTCAGAATCGATAGCCGAGTTACCTCCTAGAAAATGACGCGGCTTTAAAACAACACCTTGTATTATTTGTAAATAAAAAATTATGTTATGTTATTTTTTATTTATAGTTACTTTCTGCAGGGTATCAGACACGGAGCCGCTGTACTGTGTGAGTCCCCAGCCTGTAGCCTGGACCTTCGTATCATTGATAGGATTGCCAACATGCAGACATGCTGGTACCACGAACTGGTTCAATTTTATACTGAAATTACATAAACATAATTTTTGTAGCTTATGATTTTCGAGTGAATCAAAAAAAGGACGTACCGTTAGTAATATATTAAGTTAGTCCTTAGTCCCCATACTTACGCATTCTCAGTCTCAATCAAGGCAATGTCATGGTATTTGTTTGGAGGCTGGAACTGTGGATGTTTGATGATGTTCTTAACTTTGTAGACCTTCGACCTGTCGGCTGCGTCACCTCGTCTTAATGCACCAACTGCCACGTATGAAATAGGGCCACTGGAAACAAATTGAAAAAAAAAACAAATTAACTATTGGCTATGTGCAAAGCGAGTAGTGGCGGACAGATAACGACCGCAGCGACACGGCAGAAATTGGAAACAAATGCGGATGATGCAAACCCGGTTTTTATTATTATATTCATTTTACAGTAAAACTATTGAATAAATTGCACTTAAATAATGTCACCAATACTATTTTAATCAAAAATAATGGTTTTATTTACATTTGCAAAGAAAATTATAATGTTTACATTGTTATTATTTGACAGCTTCCGCAAATGTTGTAAACGCTATGCGTCGCCACCGTCGCGCACATAGCCAATAGATAAACATTAACTAGAATAGACATAACATAGTATCACGCCTTTTTTCCCCAAAGGGGTAGGCAGAGGTGCACATTACAGCACTTAATGCCACTGTACTAAGTAACACCCATTTTTTACCTTTTATGTTATGCGTCCCATGTATTAGGGGGTGAGCCTATTGTCATATACCGGGCACAATTCCAGACTCCGTGCTACTATTAAGAAATGTTTGGAAAACCCAGTAATACTTTGCCCAACCCGGGAATCACACCCGGGACCTCTTGTTCGGCAATCGCACATACGATCACTCAGCCAAAGAGGCCGTAAAAAAATATTATTTTCATTTTTTTTACATTAATACGGTTTGAACCTGTGTACTCACAGATCCCTGCTAGCGATGCAGTGTCCAGCAGTTAGGATAAACTTCTCACTGATGAGAGCTCCACCACACAACCACTGCACATCTTCGATCTGGCCACCATAACCGACCATCACCTGGAATTCCAAGATCAAAGATTAAGAGTATATTAGGACTAATTTAGAGACACCCTTCACGTCACATCATCAACAGCCTCTAAGTGTCCACTGCTGACCATAAGCTTCTTCTCGCACGGAAAAGGTTTGATCATTAATCACCATGCTTGCTTTATGTTGCAGTCGTGTCAACTGCATTCACACTGAACACCAACTGCAATACACTGAAAAAAGTATTTTACAAAACTAGTTGAGTTAATTCACAAATAACCAAACCTTGATAAAAGACAAACGAATTTCATTTACGTATTGATCAACTGCTTCTGTTGCATTTTACAAAAATATTTTTGTTATTTGAGTTGGTTATAAGCTACAAAATTTTATGTTATCCAATACAAAATTCGGTTTCGGCACTTTGCAACATAATATGTTTGGCTATACTCTACACACTTGTGACTTTACAGTTGACCCAACTAAAACTATTTTTTTAACGAATAGTTGCTGTTTTTCAAGTCTGCTATATTAGTTTGTTACCAGCTAAATAGTATTGTTGAGATTTGTTTTGCAAAGTTACTAAAAATAAACAAAAAATTTGGCTGAGATCAACTAATATTGATTATGTTGGTTTTAGAATATTTTTGGTTATCAATAATACAGCAATATAATAGGTGGTGAATAAAGTTATGCTGGGCATAACAAAACGTTTTGGTTACATCAAACACTAACGGTCACGGAAGTAACCTGTAGAAACCTGTTCTTCTCGTGTTGCGTTGCGAGTAGGTACTTGCGAGGCGAGTGTAGGTACTAGGTAGTGGATGTGTGTCTATTGTGCAATGTGCATCGTCTATGGCGAGCGGGAAAGCCGCGTTTTCGATTTTATGCATGTATCATATATCATCAAGCAACGTCAAGAAGATTTCAAGAATGGAGCCGCCGCCGGTAGACGAGGCGGCAGAGAAAACGATCTCGGACTATCTGCGGTCTTGGGGATTGGAAGCCTACATTCCAAAATTTTTGGGTGAGTGTTTTTCACTTGAGGAAACGGGTAGCAGCGTTTTCTTCCATACATGGAGATTATGTACTCTGCAGTATTGGAGAACGCATATATGTTCAGCAATGGAGTGTTATGAGCTATTGTTTGACTATTTATGCAGATCTTTTGCTTTCCTAGTGTATGATATTATTAACTGCATACCTACCACACCCAAAGATGAACCACTGACCCCCGCACCTACATAACCTAGGGCCTGTCCTCTCCCAACCAACTCTTATTTTTATTAAGAAAAGTCCTGTGGTACTAGTAAACAAGCTGACTAACTGACTTAGTGCGGAGATAAAAAGACTAAACTTATCCATATTATTTCAGAAGAATCCATTGATGTGGAGACTCTCCAAATGTTATCAGAGGCTGACCTGAAAGACTTAGTGCCAATTATTGGACACCAGGCTAAGCTGACGACACAAATCAAACTTTTGACCAATATAATGTCAAATGCTTTTGAGAACACTGTAAGTAATAATAACAATAATTAATACTTAATTAGTCATTTAACTCGTACCGTCATTATAGACACAATTATAGAACAATGTTGATGATTTCTTCCTTTGATGGAGATACCTAAAGGGTTATTTAATTATCTGACAGCGCTAGAAATAGGGTTATTTATTTTTTCTTATTTATTACAGAGTCCAATGAAGAACAAACTGATTTAGCCGCTCTAACATCGCTACCTTTTTTGATGAGCACATCAAATGTTACTTCTACAAAGAAAGCAACTAAAAAGACACACTGGAGACCATCAAAGCGAGAGGTATTGGAAGGCTTCATAACTCAAGTCGCAAGTCCAGCTGAGGTAGCAGTAGAGATAACAAGAAAAAGAGACAAGCTTATGGAAATGGACCTTCAAATGCAACCTTTTGTAATTGCAGTTGTGTCACCGAATAAATCAATTACAGCAAGGTACATAGTGATTAATAACATAACATATGAAATGCCAACTATTACAAAAGCTGTAGAAGTTTTTTTAAAGGCGATTTTTGTATTGAATGCTGAATATCCTAAAGAGTCCCGTCATGTCTGGCAGTTTGTACAAACTGTACTTTTTGAGTTAAAAACGAAATATGATAAAAGCTTTACTGCAGTAAATACACTTATATCGGATCTCGGCATTAAAACATAAAGAACAAGCATTGATCACATAAATCGCATATAAGCATACAAACTAAAATGCCCAAGTGTTTCCTATGTTTGAAAGACCTGACAAGTGTACCGAACCTAATGACACATTTTTCTTTGAATCATGAAAGACAAAATTTCAGTGTTTATCATTGCATTGAACTAGTGCAACTATTTATTTCCACTATTTCCATTGTAGTTATTTTTTGGTAAATGCTTCCTACTAGAAAATAGAAATAGAAAGTTTGTGAGGATGTATGTATAGATGTTTACAGCATTTAGCAAAAATTAACTACAATGGAATGAAAAAAGTAGTTTGCATTAGTTTCATTTTTTAACTTCAATGAAACTAGTGGAAATGATCGAATTTTAAATACTATTTTAGTGTATGTAGCTAGGTTTGGCTAGTATAGTGTGCTAGCTCTTTGTCTGAATTAATTATAAGTTCCTACTAAAATTAATTGATTTGATACTTAATAAATAAATATAATTGTAAAAACAAAGTTGTTTTTCTTATTCTATCTCAAGTTTGTAACCGAAATGAATACCATAGCAGGTGAGATTTGGGGAAGGATATATCTTGCTAAAACTTCTTATAGGTAGGTAAATGAAAATCTACAAGAAAAAAAAAACTTCAGGCTGATGCTACAGGGTAGCCCGCGAAATTCAAATTTTCTTACGTTTTTTGCAATTTGCAGGCCAGTGCTAGGTTGTATGTAGATTAAAATATTGTTCGCGATTGTAAGACGTATGTAGTTACAGAACTAATAATCATCAAAAGCATCAGTACAATCCTCCAAGTTGTAAAAGGTCTAGCAAAAAAGATTTTTTCAAGGTCAAAGTCATTGCTAGACTTTTACAACTTGGAGGATTGCACTGATGCTTTTGATGATTATTAGTTCTGTAACTACATACGTCTTACAATCGCGAACAATATTTTAATCAACATACAATCTAGCACTGGCCTGCAAATTGCAAAAAAACGTAAGAAAATTTGAATTTCGCGGGCTGATCGGAGCAGTCACTCTAACTAAAAAGTTATGTTACTTTTAACCGAAAAGTTCAGTTACAAATAACAAAATAGTTTGGTTACAATAATATTATAATGATGTAACTAATAACTGAACTATACCAAACCCATGACCAAGTTTTAACCAAACGGATTTGTACGCGCTAACAATAAAACGTGGCTATTTTTACATAACACTTTTGTTTTATAATACACATATTTAGTTATTTATTCTAGAACACTTTGGTACAACGTGAATAATAAATTTGTTAAGAAGTTATTATTTTTGTCGAGCCACTAATAACAGATCTCTAATAACAAAACTGAATTTGTCTAATAAGAACTATAGTTATGTAGTCACTATTTTTATGTAACAGGTTACTCAATTGTTTGTTATTTGTTACTCAAAACTTTTTTCAGTGTATGCTGTTGGATTGCAGTAGAAACGCGGTTCGTCTGTCTAGAGCCTAAATGTAACAAACACTTCGACCACTTCAAAGCCATTTTTTTATGGCATAAGCTGGTAAACGAGCAGACGGATCACCTGATGGTAAGCAATCGGGGTCACCCATGGACACTTGGAACACCAGAGGCGTTTCAACGTTACCGGCCTTTTGGGGATTAGGAGTTTGAAGATTGTTGGGGATTCAGCAATTGGGGAGATTGGGGAAGGGGAGGGGGATAATTGGGCCTCCGGTACCCTTACTCAAACGACGAAACACAACGCAAGCGTTCCTTCACGTCGGTTTTCTGTGAGGCCATGGTATCACTCTAGTCGAGTCGGCCCAGTTCATCCAGACGCATGGCTATCTCACAATAAAAAAAAAATTGCTTACCATATGTGGGAACTCATACTGCGCAGCGTTAGTTCCTCCAATGATGAGGTCGTCAGCATTGTGGTGACAGTGGTTACTCCTGCTGAGGTCTCCTGTCAGAGCCACACCCTTCTCACAAGGGTACACGAGCTGCTCCTGGTATTCTATACATTCTGAAAACAGGAGGGAATAGGCGTTAGAACCTGTTTTTATAATGAGAGGATTCGCAAGATGAACTAGAGGAAAAATGAGGATTTTGGGATTTTGAACTCAATAAAACCACCTCGGTGATAATCTACAGTAGCTATAAGTGGGCACCGGGTGTCCAGATAGACTAGTTCCGAAGCACGAAATACCAGACTCACGGTTACGGTGGCTAGTCGACGTGCGATCCCCGACGAACCTGTAGTGGATCTTTCTTCGCTAGTATGACTCCTTTGTAGAAGGAAGAGACAACTTCCCACTTCTCCCATCTCCAAACTATACCCAGAATCATAAACGGACGCAAAGGACACCGTCGCCGATCGGCGGTTGCCTGACGGCGAGGTTCGGTCCAAGCAGGACACACCATCACCGAATACTACTCCGGATGGTCCTCGCAGTGACCCAGGAGTATCCTCTACAGGTCACAGGTCCCTCCCAATGTATTTAGGCCGTTAGCTGAACGGCTAATTAAACAAGTGACGTACATATATTATTATAGTTACGGTGTCGTGGTAGCCCGGAGGTTTAAGACTTCTCATGCATGAGGATGCGGTTTTAAAACCTACCAACGGCAAGTACCAATGTGACTTCTTCCGAGTTATATGTACTTTCTAAGATTATTTAGACACCACTGACAAACGGTGAAGGACAACATCGCGAGGAAACCTGGGCGAGAGGAAGCGAGGAATTTGTAATTTATAAGTTTGTAATCGCCAACCCGCATTGAGCAAGCGTGTTGATTAATGCTAAAACCTTCTTCGTGTAAGAAGAGGCTTTGCTCAGCAGTGGCCACAGCAGTAGTTGATGATGAAATATACTTACTGTCCCAAGCCTTTTGTCCAGTTTTCTTAACTGTCATTGCTTGAGGAATTGGTTCACAGCCGCTGGTATTCGGGTCCACGTTCACGTAGTCATACACCGGTGGTATGTACTCCGTGGTAGTCGTCACCGAGGGTCTGAAAATTACATTAAAACAATGACTGGTTTAATACTAGCTTCTGACACCTGCTTCGGCCGCGTTCTTGTGGGATGAAAAGTACTCTATGTGTTCTTCCAGTATTGTATGTTGTTTTTTTATTGGGTAAGCTCGCCATAATCTTCCAAAACCGCAACTCCTGTACACCAGGATCTACAGTAGATACAACCATGCAAACACCGGAACACTGAAGTCCACCGCGTCCCAGGGATTCACGTCACTGGGACGCGGCGGACTTCCTCTCTGTCTTGGATCCCGTAACGAAAGATATTATAGAAGAAGAATATTTCAGAAGATAATATTAGTAGAGGAATTCGTATGTATATCCCATAACAATTTGTATGAGAGCCATGCTTCGGCACTGCTGGGCCGGCTCGACCGGAGTGATACCACCAACGAGCAGAAGACCGACGTGAAACAACGCTTGCATTGTGTTTCGCCGTGTGAGTGAGGTTACTGGAGGCCCAATTTAGAAGGAGGGGGGAGGCGTCCCCTGGGTCCCCAACAATCCTCAAATTCCTAACCCCAAAAGGCCGGTAACGCACTTGTAATGCCTCTGGTGTTCCAGGTGTCCATGGGCGACGCCGATTGCTTACCATCAGGTGATTCGTCTCCTCGTTTACCGTCGAAAGTATTCGTTTCAGCAAGAAAATAAAAAATGCGTGTCCAATGATTTAAAATAATCTACCAGATGGAGATTAAAATAAAAATTAGTCATCTACCCTATTATCGCGCTTACCTCTTTGTGGTAGTAGCGGTTGGTCCAGGAGGAATGTCCAGGCAGCAAACGATGGGGTCCACATTGTTGAACGTACAGATCTGAAAATAAGCATAGAATATTTTACATACATAACATTATGCCTTTCATCCCCGAAGGGTAGGCAGAGGTGCACATTTCGGCACTTAAAGCCACTGTACAATGTAACACCCGCTTTTCACTATTTATGTTATGAGTCCTATGTAATAGGGGGAGAGCCTATTGCCATATACCAGGTAGGTACAATTTCAGACACCGTGCTACTACTGAGAACCCAGTAATACTTTACTCGACCCGAGAATCGCAACCCGAGATTCGGAGTCTGGAATTGTGCCCGGTATATAGCAATAGGCTCACCCCCTATTACATGGGACTCATAACATAAATAGTGAAAAGTGGGTGTTACATAGTACAGTAGCATTAAATGCCGTAATGTGCACTTCTGCTTACCTCTTTGGGGATAAATGGCGTGAGGTTATGTATCGTGATACATACTAAATTAACTAAAATTCGCGGGTTACTCACGTGAATATGTAAAGAAAACATTAAATGTCGTTTCCTAATTTTAAGAAGCATTACATTAGATTATTTCATTCTAAATCATAAGATTTAGTCTTATAAAACGACATTTGTTTTTGGGTTGCAGTCACCGGTGTCCTCGCGGTGTTTGACAGTTTAAAAAACCAAATACTATTTGACAATAGTAATCAATTCAAAATTAAAAGAAAACCTTAGTCTTTACAAATATACTGATAAAAGCTCTCTAGTTTCGAACCACAGAGGGGTTCTTCCTCATGAGCAGCGCGCGCGGTCGCGGTGATATCGGTGCTTGGATTGTGCACCTGTCACTTAGAAGCGTATGTGTCGGAGTGTTCTTCAAAATTAGCTCATTTCAGGAATGTTTCCGAATCGACTGGCGTTCGATTATAGTACATTTTTGAGCATTTAAGTGTGGGAGAGTATATTCGGCACTGCTGGGCCGGCTCGCCCGGAATGAGACCACGGCCGAGCAGAAAACCTACATGAAACAACGTTTGCGTAAGCAATCGGCGCCGCCCATGGACACCTGGAAGCGTTACAAGTGCGTTACCGGCCTTTTGGGGATTAGGAGTTTGTAGATTGTTGGGGATTCGGGGATTGAAGAGATT